CAACAACAACAACAACAACAACACCACATTGTATCTCCACCACAAACACTTGGTTTGATGGGAAGATCAGTATTTGGCCCTTTGTTGTGAAAGAGCCAGCAAAATGGACATGTGCTGTCAATTGTCGCACAGGTACTCTTGTGATGAAGATGCAGAATGTTACTGGTGAGGTCTACAGGAAGTTATTGCTTGTACAAAATGTGGCCTACTGCAGGAGACTGTCTGCCAGCAAAGATCATTATCCAAGAGGACAATGCAAGACAGCACAAGTAAACTGTTGGAGATCAAGTTGCAGCAGATACTGGAAGCAAGAAAGGTTGGAAAATTCAGGTAAAAATGCAACCATAAAATAGTCCTGATATGAATGTACTTGATCTTGGATTCTTCAATTCCATTCAAAGTTTGCACCAGCACAACAAAAAATCTAAGGATATTAATCATTTGATTGCTAATATTGAAGAGGCTTTTTGTGAGTGCAAACAGGAGATGCTGAATAATGCATTTTTGTCACTTCAAGGGACTCTTTGTGTCGACAGTGACAACAACTACAAGATTCTGCAATTGGTAAAGTGAGCCTTATGAGAGAAAATACAAGTATTGGTGCAAAATAAGACGTGATATTTTTTTTACAGTACAAAAAAGCAGCTCTACGCAGAAAATGATAGTCTTACTAATTTACACCTCAGGCTGTCACTTAGTTCCACCTGTAACCAAAAAGGAATGTATTCTTTCTGTCAGACAATTTTCTATTTCAGAGCTTTTCTGAGCTCACTTTTTGATTTTGAAGATTCAGATCAGTGAAACAAAATTGATATCCGGACACTTTTATTAATATGGAATATAGTGGAAATCAATTCCAAGAACAGATTTCTCTTGGCGGAAATTGTTTTGAGAATTGTTTTGAGAATTTTCCAAGCTATAAACATTAAAAAAAATCAAAATCAAAATTGATTTGACAAATGGATTTCTCAAACAAATTTTTCATAAACTTCAACAACTACAGGATCAGCACCATCAACAAAGAACCCTTTGACTAGTACCTCCAGTACCTTAATAGGCATATTGGAAGCAACTCTCTCTTCTTCAGTCATGCTTGCAATGAAGGACAGTGCTTGGTTCCTCAATCTCCCCCCCTTCCATATCTCTGATAGTTATCTCATCCTTTTTGAGTTTCTTTCTTAGCATAGTCTCATCAGCATCAGTCCAAGAAGTTGATACTAGAGGTGTGGGAACATTTTTCACTGTCATCCACATATCCTACAGCTTGTCTTTCTTGGCGGGGATTTTCCTTTGCTGCTTCCACTTGCACAAAATCTTAAGAGTAGAAACTGGGAGGGACTTTACATCTTTCCCCTTGGAACCAAAATTCTTGATCAAACCAAGAGCTTTTCTGTTTAAAGATTCTGCTGTTTTTGCAGCCTTCTTTCACTGCCTTAAAGTGCTTAATCTCATCCAATTGTCTGCTTCTTTCCTTTGCAATAAAAGAATCCTCCATGTTCAGTGTATCTCTGCCAGTTGCAATAGAGTGCTGGCTAGAATAGTTAACACCTGCAATTGGATCTTGTCGCACCCTGGTATTTGGTTCCTTCACTTGTTGCACCAACTGTGCACTCTTACAAAGGGCATACTTACAAAAAAATTCACTGTTGAAACCAGCATCATTCAAAACTTTAATTGCTGTCTTGTGAGTGTGATTGGTTGGATATTGATGAAGAACAAAAGAGGTGACAGCTTCTTGCTTTGTCATTGAGGTTGATTAAATGAGAATTTTTTTTTGGTGCACAGATAAGAAATCAACAAGCCAGAAAAATTCACTGGCAAGAAAGATCATATACAATATGCACATGTTTGGAAGGACAAGAGAAAACCCTTTCTGGCTGATGGATTATCTGATTCCGATTGGTGCTTTTGCTAGAGTTAAGAAGGAACCAAAGATAGCAAAAACTGGTGGCGCATTTTATGTACTCATAACCTGTTGGAAATCAATAGTCTTATTTCGCACTCATACTCGTACTCTTCCAATTTCAAGAATGTCACAGGGTACAGTCTTTTGGGGACAGAGGAAGTACAGTATGGTTTAAAATAAAGAGTGAGGTTATTCACTAGCTACTCGTGATAGCGCTTTATCCTGACACCAGTAACTTCATAGGTTCTATCACTCGTACCGTTACATACTTTCATACCTTCGATTATGTCCTGGACGGTAATTGGGTACGGTGTATGGTAACACTTACCGCCGATGGAAGTAACCTTATTCTTAAGGCACCGGTCCTAAATGATTTTGGGGCTCGCCTCTCTCTCCACCGCAAAAACAACAGAAGACGAGTGTTGTACCGGTCCGGTACTTACCGGTACGAAGTACGAAAGGCAACTACGAGTGTTGTTCATGTGGCATCTATCACATTAGGCTATCACATCAGGCTTAAAAAAAAACATCATCCCACCATCCCACTAACGCAACCCGACATTCCAATTGTTGTAGGCAGTGGACTACCGATAGCACAGGAGAGAGTTTGCAAGACACTTCGGACGGTGGTAGAGAAGGTCGCGAAGCAACAGAGCAATCGAGGAGAAATTGGTTGGACGAACTATTCCAGCCACGAAGAATTTGCCCCACCCAAATAATGATTTCCTCGTGTTTCACAAGGACGGTGGTGKCCCATACCAGGGCAGCTTCGTCCTCTTTGCTCGGAATGACGATCGGAAGGTCCGTTATAGGCACCAAGGCAGGGATTCTTTTGAGCGATGGCAGCTGTAGCACAAGCAACAACAACAACAACGCCACGACGCTTTCGCACCCGGCAACCTCCGCGCTGCGGTGGAAGTCGTCGGGCGGCAAAAGAAAATCCTTCCGGCCCCGCCGGGCCCCCACAAAGGGCGGCTACTATTCCCGGCTGGACCGCTCCCGTGCCGCCGTGTCCTTCCGGCGCAAGCCCACGGCGGGACCACGGGAACCCAACGACGTCAAGACGCCGATGCCCCGGATCGATCGGTCGCAGATCCGGGTCCGCGACGCCCTCGACGAAGAAGGGAGCGGCGACGACGACCTGACGCCCCTCGGACCCCTCATGGGGGGCGCCCTCCGGGCCCTGCGCAAGGAGGCCTCCGGGTCCAACCTCCTGCTGGGGAGCAACACGAGCACCAGCAGCACCGACGCCACCCTGGAATCCCAGCTGAGGCTGATGGACTTTTTCACCAGCGCGGACGGATCGACGGAGGACCTGGTGGGCGCGAGGCGCGCCGCTGCGGCCGATGCCCACGGCGACCCGGGGGAAATGCTCCGGAAGATCGACGAGCTGGTGGACAAGGAGCGTTTCGAGTACATGGAGCTGCCGACGACGGAGGACCTCTTTCCGGGGAACGTCGAAGGAAGCCCCGTCGGTGGGGACGACGCCAACGCCGTGCAGATCCCCCACAACCAGCTGGCGCACGGAGAATGGTGAGTGACCGTGTGGTGTGGTGTGGTGTGGTGTGGTGTGGTGTGGTGTGTTATACACATGGCAATTGTGTGGTGCAGCTTCGACGTTCACCAAACAATACCGTTCTTTTTCTCACGAGGAACTCCTTCTGTGTTCTGTCTCGTCTCGTCGTTTTCTTCGTCCCCCTTCGTGTGTGACGGTTTCTTCCCGATGAACAACCTCCCACCTCAAAATCCCAAAAAGGGGCGAGATGCTCATTCGCACCGACCGGGTTAGCAAGATGTGGCGCGGCGGACGCGTCGTATCTTTCCGGGCCCTGGTCATCGGGGGGAACCTCCGCGGCTGCGCCGGTTTCGGAATCGGTAAGGCCTTTGAACCGGAAGACGCCGTCGAGATTGCCTGCCGGATGGCAAAGCGCAACATCTTCTTCGTGGACCGCTACCGGGGGCGGACCCTCACCCGCGACCTGGTCGGGAGGCAGAACTCCTGCAAGGTCGTCCTGAGGACCACCACCAACGGCCTGCGGGGGAATCCCCTCTGCTGCGAGATCCTCAAGCTGATGGGAATCACCAACGTCGTCGCCAAGGCGCACGGGAGCCGGAACCACTACAACGTGGTCCGGGCGACCTTTAAGGCCCTGATGACCCACGAGTCCCTCGACGAGGTGGCCCTCAAGCGGGGTCTGCGGCTGGTGAACCTCCAGCGGGCGAAGCGGCTGGGAATCTGAGAAACGAAACGAGACGATTGGAGTTGAGTTCGTTCGTAGTGGTGCACTAGCTCAAAAATTCAATCCATCGAAAGGGAGCCATCCGATTGACGAAAAAAAGTGAAACACTATGCTGCTGTCTCTGGCGAAAAACTCGTATGAAGAGAACACATCTACAAATGTGCTAGCATGTAATACGTAAAAAACATCTATTTAAATGGTTCACATCAAACTTTTCGTAAGGATTTCAATGCAACGAAATTAATGATTCGCCAAGCCGCATTATCAGTACTTCACGGGACCTTGCGCTTTTTCTTTTTCAGCAGCTTCTCTACCGTTGCTTCGATGTCTCTTGTTTTCGTATGAGTAATGCGACAAAGCATTTCACTGCTAGAGTATACTCTCTACAGCCGTCCTGCCGTGGTCGTCGGATCCAAACTTAAAATGAATGCTGACGACTCAAGACCAAAGTACATCGTGTTTTATTGATACATGTTGTCCTTATCACGTAACACAAGGCAACATGTCGTATAAGCAGCCAAGATATTGAAGCTCAATCGACAAAGCATTTTTCAGAGAGGCTGTACTTCGCATTTTTCCGACGACCATCGGAAACGGCATACCCATTATCCTTCAGCCACTTAAAACCATAAAAAAACCCATGGGAATCTTTATCTACTCCACACTCGTCTGCCAGTTCCCTTGTCGTTAAGCTCACTCCTTCGTCTTTCTTTTCCAACAGGATTTCAAATACAAGAATGGAATAATTGTTTTTGGCATTTCCCTTGATAATATCGTGCAGCTCGTCGCTCGTTTTTGCAGGACTGAGCGTTTCCTCCTCGTAGCCTTCAGGAGCAGCCCGATCAAATCCCTTCTGGGTCAGACGAAAGACTTTTTTAGCCTTCTTGGAGCCTCCTCCCGCGGTGGCGGGTGCCTCCTCGACCAGATTTTCAGCCCTAACTTCCTTCCAGGCTTTTTCGATAGCCTTGTTCTTCGGGCGATGTCCGAGGCCTTCAAAGAGCTTATCGAAGGTTACAGCTTTGACGCCAGCGATGTAGTACGCCATTAACATAGAGAGGAGGGCATCATCTTTGTTGGTTCCTTCGGTTTCGTAGGCCTTTCTGACGTCCTTCACGGTGAGAAGCTTGGTCTCCTTCTTTTTCGTCCACGTCTTTTTTCTCTCCAATAGGTCTCTCATGCGATCATTGGGAGCATGACTCTTCCGAGTTTTTCTTTCGGAGGATCTCTTCTCTTTCTTGACGTTGTCATTCTTGACGTTGTCTTTCTTGACGTTCATGGAAGCTTCCTCATCCTCTTCTTTCACACTTTCTCCATCGATCTTCTTCTTGGGATTCGTGAAAGCCTTCGCATCCTCTTGATCGGCATGTTTCTTCTTCTTCTTCTTCTTGGGAGATTTCACAACGTCATCGTTGTCGACAGCTGGTTCTTCACTGCCGTCTTCAATATCGGAGCTCTGGGAGGTTTCCGAGGATTTCTCGACGCGATCGGTCGTCTTGTCCGGCGATTGGAAGTCTGCCTTGCGCTTCTTTCCCTTGTCTTGGGCCTCGTCTTGGGCCTCGGAGTTGCTCTTGTACTCCTCTTCGGTTGCATTCTCCTCCGCGGAAGCTTCCTCTTCGGCCGAATCCTCCCCGCCGTTCGATGCCGAGGCACCGGCGGCCGGGGGCTTGGAGTCGCATGGATCTTCCCCCGCTCCCTCCTCCGAGAATTCTTCCGCGTCCTCGTCGTCCTCGTCGTCAAAGTATTTGGGGATCTTGTTCCTGGTGCGCCTCGAGGTCCTGGTGCCCTTTGTGTTGCGACGAGGACTGCAACCGTCGTCGTCGCCAGGGTTTTTCTTGGAGCGTTTGCGGTTCGGAGGTTGCTTGGCCGCTGGCTTGCGATCGTCGGCTTCCGGACTGTAATCGTCGTTGTATTCTTCTTCTTCGGCGTCGTCATTGTCGTCGTCGTCTTTTTTCTCATTCCTACCGTCGTCGCCACCAAAGGCGTCTTCCCCTTGCTCGAGAAATGAAGTGCCGTGCTCTTGTTCGGCGCCTTCCGTTCCTTCCCCATCAGAACTATTGGGATCTTTCTTCTGGGAGGGGGTGGTGGGCATATCAATCTCTTTGGTGGCACCGTCCTCGCACTCCATCAATTCCAACTTTTCGAACTCGAGGGATTCCGCCTCTTCGCTGTCGTTCTCTGTGCCGACAATCTTCTCKGGGAGTCCGCACGAGTCGTATTGCTCGGAAACCGGGTCGCTCATCGATGATTCCGTGTTTGTGTTTGTTCCCGTGTCCTTCGAATGCTTTTGGTCTAAAACGCCTCAAACGAACCTATCACTGCAATGGAAGCCATGAAAGAATGTACAAGAAGAAAGGGTTTTGTGAACAATACCGTGGTGAATGCCGTCTTAAAAGTGTCACATGRTCATCGTCGTTACACTTACGATAGTTGTACCAAAAGTTCCTTTTTGACTCTTGCAGCTTTTGGTATTGTGGTTTCTGTKTCTGATCGATTTTTTAAAATKTTCGTTCTCCGCTCCGGAGTTCGATCYCGTGAATCGAACCAGTTTCAAGGGGCCATCACCGCCGTGCTCTGAAAAATGTGGACGGGCCAACGGCACGTTTTGGTTCTCGCGTTGTGGTTTGAAAAAACCAAAGCAGAAACGTGTCGTCCGTTAACATTCGCAACAAGTGTGCTGTTCCACGGCCCCGGAGCCACACWCACTGCGCGCATCGTTCGCAGAAGACTTCCTTCCGTTGACCGAGTCGATCCCGAACAATCGTCCGCGAATACGAGCTCGGYACACGGCGGCAGAGCGTGGACGCTCCCACTTCGGTTCGTTCCCGGGGTCGCGAAYGTTCGTTCGTGTGGCGACTCGTTGACGATCCGGATGTGAAACCATTCCAATGTGGTGTTGCTGCGTCGGCGGTCGACCGCCACGAGGTGCCACCGTGCCTGCGTGCATTGGGCTACGATGGATTCAAACCAACACGGTTTTGGAGGGCGATGGTTTGTAGCAAATGCATCCGTTTGCTCGATATACTCGTCATTTAGGCTACGATGGATTCAAACCAACACGGTTTTGGAGGGCGATGGTTTGTAGCAAATGCATCCGTTTGCTCGATATACTCGTCATTTAGGCTCACAGATCGTTGTTCGTTCAAAACGAAAACATGATCGTTTTGGACAAAGTTTGATCGTTTCCCGCAAACGTGTGTGAGGCTATCACAATCACGAGTAGCTAGGGAATGAATACGAGTACCCTCACTCTTTACTGCGGGCCCCCATAACCCATAGGAGGTACGGTACGTAGAACCCAAAAGGGTCATTTAAGAAGAAGAATCAGTCCCACCGGGGGTTTCCATTCCGATCCCTCTTCCGGTGGGTAATGTTTGGTTGAACCCTATCATCGAATCATCTTTCATTAGTACAGCTATGCGCTGGCGTTGAATGGATAGAAAGGTTCCGGCGGATCCTCGGCGAGGGTTCTTTCACGTTCGCGCGATTTGCGCATCTTCTTAAGTTGCAGTTCGTACTACGGTATGAAGACGTACGTACGTACTTTGTTCTACCATGTTGCATCTGGGTGGACGTCCATCTACGAAAACAGTAGTACTAAAACAGTCCTATCACTTACTGTATTGGTTGTAGTTATGGTTCCAAGCGTTTGCATGGCCTCGTTCCCGTCTCTCTGAGGCAGTGGCGCACGTACGTTGCACCAGCCGCGCGGTGGGATCCGGGAGTTGTGTTCCCCCAAGCCCTGGAGCATCCATAAAAACAGAAGCTGTCGCACCTTGTATAGTGCCTTTGCTCGCCAAGGAAACCTTCCGTGTCCCAACGCGTTCTTGTTTATCGTTCCGTGGTTGAAGTCGTGTCCACCGTTGCTTAAGAGAAATCGGAGGTGTTCCAGCCAGGAAGCTCGAGCAACTGCCGGGCTACGTGTAGTCTCGATACCGTCAGTGGAACACGATGGGACCGAGGAACCTTCCTTCTCTGCGTCTCGAATATCCAATATACGGCAATCGTGTGTAGATCATGGTACGAGAAGGAACTGAACATAATTCCCCCCTTCCACGCACAAAACAACTCCCGACCTTTGTTTCCTTCCTCCAATCCTTGCAGTTGCGGTTGATGAGGTAATTGGTACGATACGGTACGGTACCTTGCAACGCATCTTGCCATCTACAGTTGAAAAACTCGTAGTCGTACATAATCCTTCGCTAACACCATGCATTCCTGCACAGAGCAACCCAGACGATAGACACAAAGTAATACCAAACATAGCACAACATTGTATTATCGGTACTCACGTACATCCATCCATACATCACACACAAACAACAAACAAACAAAAGCAGACAGCTACCAGACAGGTACCAGACAGCTACCCAACACCCAACACCCACACCGGAACCACAGCAGAGACAGAAAAACAGCTACGAAAAAATGCGGAACCACGACACACATCGCGGCGGCCTCCACCCGGTGGCGAGGGCGCTGCTCGTGCTAGCGCTTGCCTTCCCGATCGTGGCAAAGCACGTCCTCGTCGACGCCGGGAGGATCGTGGAACCCGTGGGCCCCGGCTACACCATCAACAGCAGCAGCAGCAGCAGCAGCAGCAACAACAACATCAACAGCACCCACACCAACGCCACGGGAACTTTTCCCGGCCCGTGCCCCAGCGAGAACGACTGCGGGACCTCCGGAAGGGAAGACTACCGCCGGCTCTCCGCCCTGCACACGCTCGGGGAAGACTCCCCGAGGGACCTCTTTGTGCCGAGGATCAGCGAGCTCCTGCAATCGAGCGTCCGGGGGCTCCTCCGGAAGCACCCGAGTTCCAAGGTGCTGCCGCGGCCGAGGGACGCCGCCTTTGGATCGGACGAGGCGGACCCGATCGCGGAGGCGGTCTTTGCATCGATGAACACGGGGGGAAGGCTCTTCCACAGCACGGGGCACGTCTTTAGCGTCCTGGAGAACTGCGGGGGACCCTCGGCGGATCCCATGCTGGTCCTGATGGTCCTCTTCCACGACGTGATCTACTACTCGGTCGATGCCAACTTTCTGGAATTCCAGCTGGACCTCCTCGAGGGCGTCCTGGCATTGGTCGAAGACGAAGACGGGGACGACCGCAGGCCTTCCGAGCCGCTGGCCCTCTCCGAAACCGCCACGAGGGAGGACCCCCTGGTGGCGGCGGTAGCGGCGGTCTTTGGCGTGGAGGAGGGCGCCGTCCTGCCGGGAAAAGCGACGAACGAGTTCCTCTCGGCGGTGGTGGCCACCCGACTCCTCTCGGGCTGGCTGCCCCTGTCCGATTTGGTCCGCCTGGCGGCCGGGATCGAGGCGACGATTCCCTTTCGGCCGGTGGGACCGAGCGGGGAGACGGCCCTGGGGGCGCTGCACGACCGGTTGTCCCCTCTGGTGCTCCTGCCGGGGAACGGGGCGGCAGCAGCAGCAGCAACAACAACAACAACAACATCAACAAGACCGACGACCACCGAAGCCAACCACGAGGAGTGGAGGACCGAAACCCTCCGGCTGGCGGCGGCCATGGGAAACTGCGACCTGGCCTCGCTGTCGACGCCCGACCGGGACTATTTTTTGGACTCGACCTGGTCGATCATCCCCGAGATGAACCGGGGGATGCTGGCCCCGGGCGGGCCCTCGCTGGGGGCCTACCGCGACGAGTTTCTGGCCATGGAGCACCGGACGGCCTTTCTGGAGGGGGCGGTCCCGCACATGTTCCACTCTTACGGGGGGGTCCCGGAGGAGGCCTCGGTCGAGGCGATGCGGGCCAGGACGCGCTCCAACCTCGGGCTCGAGTTTGGATACACACAGGTCCGCCGGCTCCAGCTGCTGGTCCTCACCGACTTTGTAGAGGTCCTCGGAGAGGACCCGTGGGCCCTTCCCGGCTTGCCCTTTCTGTCCATCCGGGAGGACAGGGACAACGACCGCCACAGCGAAGACGACGACAACGACGACGACGACGACTACGACGACGAGGTCCTCCGGTACCTGTCCAGGGGCCGGAAGACCGCCTTTCCGTGGGACCCGGCGGCCTCCCCGCTAGGTGCCCTCCTGTACCGGACGCTCGGGAGGGAGGGCGTCGACGCTTCGGTAGAACTCGCAAAGAACCACCGGGGGGAACCCGGGGACCTCCTCCGGGCCTGCGTCCAAGGGGCCGTCCTGGAGGTCCTCGCGGGGGCCGCGGAGGACCTCCTGGGCAAGCCCCGGGCCGAGATCGAACGGGCCCTGGGCCACCACGGGCTGGTCCGGAACGGAGGGGCGGCCGCAGCCTCGTAGGTGGCTGTGTTGGGCCGGGAAGGGCCCGCACCACGGAACGACCGGGCACACCACCCAACCACGGGTTTGCTGCGGTTTTCCCGATCTGTACTGTTACTACTGTATTCTAATGTTCTAGCTAGATCAAATCAAAACACCATGTAAAGTAAACTAATAAATAAAATCCTGTGCTGTGCTGTGCTGTGCAAATATCAAATCATACCTTCCGGGAGGTACTGTTCTCTTTTTCGGGACGCCGATCTCCCATCGCTCGGACGAAGGCCTTGGTCCTAGTGGGTGCAACGGCTCACATCCGCCGCATTCGCGCTTGGGCCACCAATTCGAAACGGGGGTGCGTGGCAGCGCGCCTTGCTCAGAGGTACATGTCCCAGCTAAACTTTTCCTTTCCAAGGAGGATGGGCAAGTAGATCACCACCATCGGAATGGTAAAACAAAAGCACAACATGAAGACAATTTGCACGATGACCACCGCATTGCCAGAATCCTCGCTGCAGCCCAGGCCTCCCACTGTTGGCGAGAAGACACGGTGTAAAGCGCGACGCGGCGATGCACGGGGATTTGGCAGCGGCGGGCGGTTCCGTGAGAAATTTCAAAACGTTGGAAGAACCAAATGCAAGAGCAAAAAAGATGTGAGGTCCGCAGCGTTTCAAGGGACAGCCGAAAACGCCCAAACGCATCGTTGCATTCTCATCCTCCCGCCCACTTACGCGATTTCAAGCACCTCGTGCCGGGAAACACATACGGCAAGACGGCGGCGCAGGCGCCAAACAAGAGAAGGACCGTAATGGAACCGATAGTGAACCCCGCCCACCAGTGCGAACGCTCATTTCTGTCCTTGAGAGCTTTAGCCTCCTCTCTCTGGCGGGGCAGCATGGGAAGTAAGAAGATCGTGGAAATCTTGAGCAGAAGGGCGATCGAGTCGTACTTGACAAATTCCATGTGCACCTCATGGGTGTCTTCTATAATCCTTGCGGTATCGGAAAGCAGCGGGAAAAACGATTGAAGCGGTACGGAGATGGCGATCCTGGAAAGGAACACCGCCAGCACGTTGGTCGTTCCGATCAAAGCCACCGTTGCCGCTTCGAGACCTTCATCTGCCACAATATTGACGGCCCACATGAGGGGAAGGGAGGTCAAGACCTGGAGAAATCCCGCGGGGGTGGTGCAGATTATCCAGAGAACGGGGTTACGGGTGACGTCGAACACAAACAAAAACCTTAACAACTCAATGAAGACGTCAAGCAAGGTTCCGATGAGCATTATTTTGTGCCAGGAAAAACCAAGGGCGTACTTTGCAACGACACCGAGCGTCACAATGACCATCAAAACTCCAAGCATCGTACTAACCAAAGGTAGCAAAGTTCTCTGCGAGATGAGGGTAGCCGAGAATATGAAATATGCAAAATTTTCGACGTGAATGAGGGTGCCAAGACACAGAGAATACAGCGCAAGCTGCCATACAGCACGGTTTGTCAATGCCCGCCACATCTTTCCGAGCCTTTTCTTGAGGTTCTTCTTGACTTTCTTCTCTTCGTGCAAAAAGAAGCAGAAGGGGAGCGCGAGCAAGATGATACCAATGATGACGGAGTAGACAGCTCTGACTCCAAAGTCGAAGTCGAAGATGGCCTCGGGGCATATCATGTAACACCAATCATCTGGATTATCTCCGCTGAGAGCGTTTCGTGCTAAAACAGTTTCATCGGTCGAGCACGGTTCGGTCGGATCTGTCTCGTAACCGGGACAATTGTACCTTGGTCCGGAAAAAGCAAAAAACATAAAGATGATTGCACAAACAATACCAAGAGTTCCGAAAAGATCTCTCAAGACCTGAAATCGCCCCTTCTTTTCTGGAGCTTCTTTGGAAGTAATCCATGGAAGAAATCCATCCACAGCTGTTGTAGAGAGCTGAATGCCAAACTGAGACATTGCAATCAAAATAATTAATGTATCCGTCCCAATATCATCTCCAATAATTGTAACGGGGAGAAGAAAGGAAAGATAGGCCAACCACCCAAGAATCAAGTAGGGTTTCCATGAAAGTCCCATGATTGGAAATGCATCCACCCAGATTCCAAAAAGAATGCTGAACGAGTGGAATACGGTGCCTAAACTGGTAGCTGCCTGCAATTGCGCGGTGGGCAAATCCCTTCCATATGGGCCAAATATGTAGGTAAACAACAGGCCTAAACCAAAAGCCATGAACTGGTTCACGAAGCCTTGGATTGGAATACCAACATAGCCCAGAGAGAAGATGGCGCTATCCTTGAGATACTCATCTTGGTTGGCATCGTTCTTCTTCTCTAGCGAATCGTCATTCGACAGATTACTTGATTCTCCGTAATCCTTCGATGGATTTGCTTCGGCGTCACGGACTACGTCGCCGTAATCGCTGCCCGGGTCTTCGGTTTTGTTCACGCTTACTTCTCCCGTCATATTCACGATTGCCGTGCGCGAGTTCGGATTGTCTTCTTTGTACATGGACTTTTAACTGGCGACCCTGTGTCAACAAAAGTGTGGCTTCTTCATTGAAATAAAAATGCTCAGTGCTGCTTGTGAGGAAAGGAATATCGAAGGCTAGAATTCCTTCCGTAGCGTACGGCACTTGGTATTCATTCGGTACTAGTACGAGAACTGATCCTTGTACGAATCCTCGATTTTTTTATTAATATCTTACTTAAGAGTCTCATCTTTTTTGTTCCAGCCCCTGGACTCGTACCGCACCATTAGGACATTCTGCCAAAAAAATTCTGGCGGCATTTTACGTACGCAGATGGTGACATCTGGTCGAACGATACTGTAGAAACTAGTCAGGCTGGTTCGATCCAGCGCTTCAAAATTTAGGCGGACTTTTGATGGCGGACGCATAGAAAATTCTGGCGGCGATAATAACAAAATGTTCTGATGGCTTTTGGTAGAAAGGAACTATAAGAGCATTGTTACAAGGCATATAAAACTTCTAGAAGTATGAGTAGTATTTACCAGTAAGAAGTACTAATGATTTAGTAGTATCATTCTAAACATACTCTGTGGCAGAGTCGGGACAGCTCGATTAGGCGGACTGTTGACATCGATTGTCAATGATCATACCCACAGGTTCGTACCGGAGAACTCTCTTGTTAATCCATTCGGCACGTGGAGACCAGGACTCATGACTATCCATAATGTACCATATGATTAGAGCCTACTACTGTACTTTTAGGTAATATGGTACATATGACTGCATCAAGATATGGCACGTGCTGAGATGGACCTCGTTCTTTTTGCACGCATCCACCATGCGTAAAAGAATAAGATCGTTGGTATCATTCCTTTCATATTCATAGTGAGTACCATTACTCGTACCGTACGTACAAGACAGTAGAACGATCGTTAACGCTCCCTATCGGAACGATGCCCAAAAAATAATTGGTGGGATGGTGCCCCGAATACCAATGGGATATCCTCCGAGCTTCCTCTTGACATGACTCAGGTCTCTGTTCTTTAATTGTGCTGCCCTGCCCTGCCTGCGGTCGAACGGCCATCGACGGACTCCAGGCAATTTCTTGCTCTGTCTCCCGGCACTTTCTTGCACTGTCTTACACCGCAGCGATTCTGTTCACCACGAACGACAGCAACAACCATGGTCTCTCTCCGTTGTTTTGGTCTGCTCCTCGTGCAGATCCTCCTGGTGCAAGATGATGCGGTGGCGACGTCGGCCACCACCCTCGAGACAGGCGAAAACCTCATCTCCTTTCCCTGGTGCATTCCTCCGACGCCCTATCCGCCACAGGTGGCAAGAGAGGGAGACACGGTGTATTTTAACTGGGATGGAGAATACCACAACGTCTACCTCTACCCAAGCGGGACCTGCACTAACAAGACCGGCCGAGTCTACCTGGGGGAAATCTCCGGGCAGGCGAAGTACACCTTTACCGACGCGGACGTGGGTAAGAACCTGACCTTTGTCTGCGACGTGAGCTCCCACTGCTCCCAGGGGCAGATCGTCGTGTTCGAGGGCGCGGAGGCGTTCGGGCTCCCTGCAACGACGGATCCGGAGGCCTCCGCAACGCCCTTTCCGTACTCGACGACGACCCCCTGCGGCGACGTGTACTTCAACGGGCTCGGCCCGGGGGACGACGGTGCCGATCCCGATGCCTCGGCGGCGGCGGCGGTTGGGAGCGGCTTCCTTTTCTTTGTGGCATCGGGAGCGGCGCTGCTCGGGTTGTAATGGAATGGGACAGATGGTTGCAACGTGGGGCAACAGATTTCCATGGAATAGCACGTCGGACAAGGGAAGAAACATCGATCGAACTACAGCATAGAAAAGAGATTTTCGTATGAATCGAACAGCACCCAGGGCAAGAGAAAACCGCCATGCAATGCAGCAAAAGAGAACGCAAGTAACACTTGACTAGTCTCTGATTCGGTAGTTCTTAAAGGCATAAAAGACTAGTAGGATATGAAGCGAGTCCAAAACAGACGCGCGAAATGATTATAGGTTTGGTAGTTTCAAGTGACAGGATCACAGCAGTGCATCCGCAGACAAACCGTAGCCGCGACGGCTTTCTTCGAAGTCAACCCAAAAAGCACTTCGGGGAGAGCACGAACCGTGCTTTGCCCTTTCCTCCGTGGTTTGGGTCGTCCCCGACGTGTCCGCTGTTTCGGAGCTGTTTCAGGGCACAAACAAAACTCTTGGTCCTTTCCATCACTCCACAAACGGCAGCCAGTTCTTTGGTGGACAGAGACGATCCTTCTTTCCTGGCGTTCAGGAGCGCGTCAAAGATCGTTGCCCCATGGGGAATCGGGGCACGGCTCCGGATTCTTTCCTGGAGCTCTTCCGTGGTCTTGGGGGGATTCGCCAGCTGGTGCTTGTAGTCGTCCGGGGCGATTGCATCGATGCCCTTCTCGGTCAACCCAAAGGCCTTCTGTTTGCCCCTGCACTTCTCCTCCACGAGGTCTTGACGGCAGATCTCTTTCCAGGCCGAGGCGACCGTCTTGGTCCTGGGGTGGCACCCGAGGTCCCTGGTAAGCGTCTCAAGAGCCACCGACTCGGTGCCGGCCATCCAGTAAACCATGAGGATGGAGAGGAGGGCTTCCTGCTTGTTAATTTCCTTCTTTTCGTGGGCCCGCTTGATGTCCCTGGTGGTGCTCTTCATCGACCATGACGGTGCCGCGCCGTTGCCCCTCGGGCCACTTCGTTTGCGAGAAGCACCCGCATCTTCGTTCCCAGTCATTTTCTTCCGAGATGAGCCCGGGGAATCCTCTTCCTCTTCGGGTTCGCTTGCATTTTGGTCCGGATAGCTTTCATCTCCGGAATCGTCCGAGGATTCGCTCCCCGCTCTCTTCTCCTCCGATCTTTTTGACTCGTTTGCCGTTGATTCGTCCTCTGGGTCCGACTTGGTGTCCGGGTCCTCGCCCTCGCTCCCCGAGTCGGAAGCAGCAGCAGCAGTGAAGTGGTCTTCTTCGGCTTCTTCGTCGAAAAAGACGTCGCGGTCTTCCAGCCAGCGGAACTTGGTGATTGCTAGGTCGTGCCAGTGCTTGGAATTGTCCTGGTACTTGACAAAGAACTTGCTTTTCGGTGAGGTGTTCCCAGAAGGCTTCCGGATCACTTTGCACGGATAATAACCCCTAAGGCTATCCCAATAGACTGCAATAAAGGAACCGGTCCTTACCTCTTTCCACAAGAGCGAGGGCCTGGGTGTGGTCCTTTTGGTTCTCCTTCTCGCCATGATCGCTCTTTGCCTTTGACGATATTCGAATTGAAAAAAACTATGCGAGAAGAAACACTGGGTTCGACGTAGCAGTGGATCGTTTGTGATTTGGATTGTTTGCCGATTGTGGATCGAGCAAAAGGAGTCGTTTCGCTATCGAAAAGCTTTTTTTGTTCGAAATGCAATCGGACACGATTGGAAGGGCCGGCGCATTTTGAAGTTGGATTGGAAATTAGAGAGAGAATCGCGGAAAGTTTATCAATTTTTAGTTTTGAAATGAGGGATGCTCTTCCCTGAGATGTCGTCTTTTTTAAACCATGCATGCTTTTGTAATTGTTGGCGTTCAAGCGTGAGAGAGATGTTTCACGCTTCTTTTTCCGGTTTCACATTCCAAATCTCACGTGTACACGACGTTGCTTGCTGATGGAAAACCGATTCCTATGGAAGGCGTATTGAATAATTTAGAAGTATCTTCAGTTTTCATAGATCGCGACTCGTCTTTGCAGTACAAAATGTGCCGACACCAAAGCAAGATGAGATCACGACTATACCTTGCAGCACAAAATGTGCCGACACCAAAGCCAGATGAGAAAAAGGGACCTTTTCGGTCTCTCTTTTTGGATCGGATCACATTTTCTCTTAAAAAATCTTTTGAGCGAGGCGAAAGGCATGTCGGTAGCGTTCTCGACCACCGTGCCTGCTATGTAATGTTTGGTTCTGAGAGCCACAGAAGATGATAACGAGAAATTTTAAAAAGATCCTCACGGTGTAGAGTATTCGAGATGGCGATTCTTCATTTTCAAATGTGATCGGTATTTATCCCCCTGCCCCTTGCCGATTTCGATTTTGGACGGTAGTCTCAGAAGAATCGATCCGCCCGATGTACCCAGAGAATCTGATTCGATTGGTATTTTGGCTCGGTGGTTTTTAGAACGTTGATTATTCTCTTTAGGTGCGGCTGACTCGGTCCCCACTTCAAATTTCCGGTAGTCTCTGTAGCTCGCTTGCCAGATGTCACCAGTGCGGGAGGCAACTTGGATCCGTTCCAATAGGAACATACCCTGTTCTTCGTTGAAGAAAAATTCCACCAAACAGCGTTCCCCATCGTCACAGAGAAGTTTCCCACTGGCGTAATCTTGCGAGCCAAATTTGTTGTCGAGGTTGCTCCACTCGAGCAGGTTGGTGCTAGCCGTCCGGCAATCGCCGTGCTGCGAAAGAAAGACTCCCGGAAACATGGGCGTCATGGCCAACCAAAAAAAGAGGTAAGGATCGTCTTCCTCGAATTGAATCAGTGGATACTTCCCGCATGCTCTGGTCACGGTTTTTCCTTCGCCAACGTGTGTGATCATCTTGCCTCCGTCACTTCCGTGGGGAATATAATATTCCAACACATTGTGAGGAATTGCGAGGATGGTCGTACGAGCATCCCAGACAAACCCCGGGCATTCAAGGGAGGTCGATGCTATCATTGTGGCTTCGAAGGGATACCACTGGTTGGCCGCATAGAATTCCCCTTTTTGATATATACTCGCGACGGCCTTCGGATAAAGAAACCACGGATCCCTACCACCGAGAATATTTCCGTTGCTTTCTGAAGAGGCGGTCATCGTATCAGCTATGTATCTTCGAACGGCGGGCGGAGGACGATTCGAGTATGCTTCTTGGCTGTTTTCAGAAAACGGACCATTCGTTAGGCGTTGGTCTAAATTTCTGATCCTGGGGGTACATTCGTATTCGTTAACAGCTCGCTTCTTATCAAATAGAACTCCTTGGGTTTGATAGCGGGTTGTTGCCTGTTTGGTTTCCAATTCTAAAACGGAAACGACCAACCGGTGTTTCGTCCTACGTACCCTTTCTTCCCATGTTTCGCCGCTCTCTGACAGATAATAATATCCCACGCCGCCACAGATCCCCATTGCAAGCGCCAGAAGGTCCACCTTGTTGCGTCTGGAAAGTCTTGGTTCGGATCCGTTGCTCCCAGAAGAGGACGAGGCCAGCGAGCGACGATGACTTCCCATAATTAGCATCCCCGGAGTCGTTCCGGGGGAAGGACCACATCGGGGGAGTGTAAGAATTCGCACAGCCTGGCTTTGGCCGGCGACTGCGCCACCTATACGCAACATAAAAGCAGTAGCAATCATTCTGTGATCATTGTCGAGGGATGCGGAGGAAATTCCCATGTTCGGAACTACTGTAACACTTTGGCTACGAAAAAAACATACTAGTGGTAATATTTTGAGTTGTGGAGTTTTCGATGCCATAGTGACTCTTAAATCTTCGACTCGATCGACTGAAATGATTCACTAGTCGTTCTTTTCATCAATCTGACCTCCGTACGGTAAAACCGAAGATGAAAGAATTCTTTCGATGGTACGGTATGGTACGATATGCACGAGATTTTCAAGTGTATCTTCTCTATTTTGCTCCTGACATAACCGTTGACTTGATCAAATCTTACTCCTCGAACTATGAACAATAGCAACTTTTTCTACTGTGCGGTGTTTGCTGTATGTAATGTACGATAACATAACGATTGATTTTGAGTGACAGTTTTCTAATTAATTGATCACTTCGATTTGGAAGTCCCGGATACTGTAGGCGTGTCACCTCTGGAATTCTGTGTCATTTCGCCAAAGATTCAAATTTTATTGTGTCTTCGCTACGGTATTTTATTAACACCAGTAAAGAAGCATTTGAATCCCGCTGCGACACGAATGGCATTGAAGAAGGAGCCTTTGCCCTACCCCTATAAGTTGCTACGTAGTCCCTACCTACGTACAACGAAGTAAGGTATCAAATCAAAATAACGCATCTTATCAATGGCAACTGCCACGTGCATAGAACAAAGTGCTACCGATGACTTCCGGTGACGGTCTGGGAAGCGTCCGCTAAATTCTCGGAACCAAAGACTGTACACGAATTCTTTTCCACTTTATTGATTCGATTGTAGAGAGGTTCTTTTTTTGAGCCAGATAGAACCCTTCTTCATCAGTGACGCACGAGCACAATACAAGATCTGTATCGATCTTCTATTATGTTCATGTATGTTCTGGTTCAACTCTATAATTAAGAGTCTCGGAAAAGAATGAATTTATTCTATGTAGTGAATGATACGTAATTGTAAATAACTTAATATAGTTGGGCCTGCGGTATGGCTTTTCTATCTTTTTTGCTCCCGTAAACTCGATCATGCATCGGTTCGTTTCTCAACGAATTATGACTGCTTGGGGGACAAAAAAGAAGCTGAAGGGTTTTTCGGTTAACAAATTAGTCCAACTTCCAATCGTGCCCTATCAGGGGGACATTACAAAGCCCCTAAGTACCGTCCCTCTCTTTGGTCGCATGATGAGATAGATAAATAGGATTCATCGATACGACGTACGCACGAGTATCCTCCTTTTTATTTATGGCTCTGAAGAATTCCGTTCTCTTCGTACTGTACGCACTTTTGACAATCCCTATCTTTGACAGGTTGCACTTCGAAGATGCGTGGATCCATCTGACACCGATGACACGAACAGAAAAACACGGGTTCGTTCGGAACCACATGCATTGCTTTCTTGGTACGATCCATTGACGAAAGAATTTTGATGAAAAACAATAACGACGAAGACGTGGGGCTGGCTTTTCGTGTCAGAGCAGTACGATACAATTCGACAGAATCTATGTCGCGCAGTTGCACGGTGTCGCATTTTTCGTACACGTTGCACTTGCGGTGGTCGTTTGTATCTAACGGAACAGTTGCCCCACGGCCGCAAATCCTATCGGAATACGCCGTGGATCCTTCCTTGATACTCCACCGTTCGTTTTTTCAAAGCAATCCCAAGCGAATGATTCCCTAGTAGACATTCCACGTAATTGTTCCCGTACATTTTCTATTCGTCCTTTCACGGGTCATACTGCCCAGAGAAAAAGTCTACAGGAAGTTTGAAGTAATTATTGTGAGGTTCTACTTAAGACTTGTTGATTTTTACCATCAATTTTTTGACATCTCACAACCACTCTCTCTTTTCGTATCACTCACTGGCCAGCAACTTCGCATTGGCATTCACGCCTTACCATACTTACACTGTACGACATCATTAACTCAGAGTTATCCCCATTCTCGTCATCTGCCTCGGTATATCCACTTACCCAAGTGTAATTAGCAACAATCTGACAGGGACCGTAGCTGAAATTCCTTCGCAATAGAGAGGTACGTACGGTAGTTTGTTCGGGAGCAGGAGCGGTGACACCAAACCATTTCGTGTCACCACTCGCATCGCTTCGTATTCCCAGTCAGTCTTTGTATTGGACTTCACTTCTTTGCATCGTGCTTTGAAGACAATGGATTGACATCGCACAGTCACGAAACGATCGATGAACGGAAATGGTATTGTCTCTTTGGTGCTCCGAACAAAACAAGGAGACGTGACGAACGAATGCGTTGACACGGTACGACAGGACAACACACCATACCACGGTATAACGATGCGCCTTTCTGCGGGAGATACGATGTGGTTGCGACAAACGAAGACCGTATCTGTTTGCTTCGGTGGTGTCGTTTCACGACTGCCGCTGCGCTCGCTCGCTAGCCACGGGAGAAGCAAAACGCCGCTTCGTTTAGTCGTGCTTGCTCGACTCCCTCCCCGGGATCGCATCTTATTCTTTGGAGAATAGTTGCCACGCTAAGAGGCATCCAACCGAATCGCAATATCTTTTTCCTCAGGCGGGGCAGCAAGAACGACTAGCGACTTGATGCAATGCGCCAAGATGTGTGTCGTGTATCATCAACGCGCAGTACCCGCGTTCGCTGTGTTGCAGTGCGAAGTCGATTACGCCGCGAAAACGAAAAGAGCATCCCATCGATTGAACATCCATTAAAACAACTCACTCACAAATGCTATTTTTAATGTTGATTGCTTCTTTATAACACCTGCTGTATTTTACAACATTTTCCATCGATTCTTCCGATCACCACAAATTCTTTCAAACCCTCATCGCGGCATTTTCCCGTCTCCACAACATCGAATCCGGAACAAACATGCACTATAACCATCCCCGATCTTTTATGTCCCTACAGTACTCCATTCCACGCATACCCGAGAAGCTAAAACTGGAGCGACATCCGCATCCCTTCAGCAACAACAAGCAGCGATCGATTCAGCAGTTCATTCGCAACCAGCGCTATCCACCACCGAGAATCAAGGCAGCCACGGAGCATCACAATCAGCAACGAATTGCCATGGAGATCGAGGACCGTACCAGCAGTACCGCCCTGCTCGAGCGCCAACACAAGAACCATATTGCGGAGATTATGATCCGGAACGCCAAGTCCTTTGCGGCGTCCGCCAAGACTTCCAGCGATCCCCTCGGGAGCTCGGCCAGATCATCCGGGGGCAACAGTACCACCAGCACCAAGTCCAATGGAAATAGCAATAGTAGCAGCAGCAACAACAGCAATAACAATAGCAGCAAAAGCGACGAGAAGAACAACGGGGACAAAGCCAACAACAGCGGAAGCAACGACAACAACCGTGGGGAGCGCAAGATGAACACGGGCCGGTGGTCGGCCGACGAACACAAGCGCTTCCTCAACGGTCTCGATCAATTTGGGTGAGTAATGGAATGGCTCCATTCGCATAGAATACGTATTTTCGTGGGGGTTTCGTTGGTGTATGTTTTTGTTCCAAACGACTGGCTCGCTAACAACGATCAATTCTGTTGCACCGCACATTTATCTCTTACATAACATTGTGACCAAAAGAACTGGCAACTGGAAAAAGATCACTGACATGGTCGGCACCCGATCCTGCACCCAGATTCGAACCCACGCCCAAAAATACTTCATCGCCCTGCAAAAACCTGCCAACGACGGGACCAACGAGAACGGCGGCTACTCGCGCAAGAAGTCGAAGATGCTCATCGGGGCCGACCACCACCTCAATTCGAACATCAAAACGGGTTCCTCGGCCATTATCACCGGCTACGGTGGTGGTGGAACCCCTATCCACCCCAGCGGGATCGTCCCCGTCACGGGCACGATGGGAGTCAGCATGGGCAGGTCCAAGAACGGCACTGGCTCAAACCCTATGATGAAGCAATTCTGGGGCGTGGAGCGAAACTCGGGGCTCACGGGCATGGAGGTTCTGGCACAAGCCGCCATTACGGGAGAGAAAAGGCTCCAAACGCTTGCGGCACAGAAGGACGACCATCTTGCTTCGCTCCACGGGGTTAGCCACTCCCACTTCAACCAGTACGAAAGCTCCCTCGACAAGGCCGTTGCCGAGCTGCGCAAGAAAATGGCCTCGGAGAACGATGGGAAGGCCAAGACCTCGGCGTCTTCCGCCGTGCAGCCCTCGATAACCTCCTCGTCGGACGATGCCGCGAAACAGGGAGGATCGGGCGAGTCGTCCAAGCGCAAGCTGGACGACGCCCGCGCCGCCGCGGTGGTGTCGATGCACGCCGCCGAGGAGCACCAGAAAAAACTCAAGCAGAAGGAGCAACACCCCACAGACCACATCAACTACGCGGCCGCCGTCCAGGACACGATCGACCGAAAGGAAGTCCTGGACAAGCTCCAGGCGGCCGCAGAACGGCAGGAATTCATGCGCCTGAAACAGGAAAACAAGAACCTCAACCAGACGGTCCTCCAGCTCCAGCAGCAGAGCATCGAGAGTGAGAACCGCGTCATGGAGGCGATTACCGACCGCCGGGTGACCCTCAACGAATGCAAGAACCTACGTGAGATCAACGTCCAGCTCAAACAGGAGCTACGCCGAATGGTCCTGCTCTTCGAACACTCGGGGGCGCAGACGTCGAATTCGTCGGCCCTGATGGCGGCCGCTACCCAGGGTGCCAACGTCGAGCTGATGCAAGCAAGGCTGACCGAGTCCGAGCTGCGCTACCACACGGTGACGGAGTCCCTTAGCCGACAGACGGGGGTCCTGACCGACCAGCACCGTGCCATACTAGAGCTTAACTCGCAGCTCGAAAAGGAACGGGCGAAGTGCCAGGCTCTGGAGTTCGAGCTCAAGCAGCTCAAGAAGAACTAGGACGAGTGAGTGCTTGGATTGATTCTTTTGTTGGTTTCAGGAGGGGGAGGGGCGTGAGGTTGTACATACTGTATTTGCGGAACCGAAACCTACTGGGAAATGGAAAGGAATCCATCCATTTCGTTGCATCACAATCCAATCCATTGATCATTTCGTTTGTATATATATGCTATCATTCATGTTGTAGTCCTAAGCACTAAAATTCATTTTGTATTTTACACACGATTACATTGTAGAAAGCTATAAACTTTACTTTACTTCGCGGAATGAAGGCATAATATTGACATTGCATTAGAGCAGTGTATCATGGTACAAAACATCGAATACGACCGTTGCAAACCAAAGATTAGATCGATTCTCACAGAAACCATCCTAGAAAGGTATCTAGAATACCGCATCGCGCATAATACTTTATTCTCATACTTCGGAAGAGCGCAGCATGACGGAGGGGAAAAGGAAGGACATCCCTCGACTCAAGAGAAGGGACCACCTCGCCATATGATGTCGTGGAGTGCCAAACGATGGTTTCGAAAATCTCACGATGACAGAACAGAACAAACAAAGATTCCCAGCATTCATTGGGATTGACTATATCCGGAATTGTTGGATTCGTGGAGCAGAAAAGTTCTTTTTTGGCTTCTTCCTGCCGGGGAACGAGTCTTTCCGTTCCCTTACCAATCCCGGGAAAGAGAAAGAACACAATCAAGCATTTCCTCGCTTTGGAAGGGTAAGGGTATGAAAAATTTGAGATGCCTCATCCTTAATCATTTGTTTCTTGAACTTCAACTTCCTCTGTCCGACCAAACGATCACAGATTTAGGCTACCTTCAACTACTGTATGTATGTATGGTAGTTGGTATGGGACAGCATGCCTTCTGTGAGTTGGGCCACGAAGATTTGTTCGTATCCATCCGTTGCGTCGAGCAATGAAGCGGCAAAGGAGCATAAATAATAACGCATATATGTACGTACTGTTAGTCTCAACAAAGTAATAAAGGACTTCTTCGTTGATATTATTTGCTAGTCCAACGCTTCAATACCGTAGGTAAGGTGCATGCGTCGAGCACGGCTACCGTACGGTATGATCGCGAATGATAGATGATTCATTCATACGCTGCGACAGAAGAAGGAACTTCTACCGGACGAAGATTACGACGCTCTCGAATTTGATCACACAATGCTCGAGTCAACTTTCGAGGAAATTCTCAGAACATCTTCCCATCCCAAATCACCTGAGAGGCATCAGGGTTTCCCCTCCCAAATCACCTGAGAGGCATCAGGTACCATACGTTAGTATCCTACGTATCATATGAATGGTAGGAAGCGTAAGTCGTGACAGTAATTTTGTCTCTGCATCCCTTCGTACGAGTTAGTCCTTCACCAATTCCGTACCGTTAGTCCCTAAGGCGTGGTGTGTACCGTTCGGTGCACCGGTAGGTACCGTAGCATGGTGTCAACAAAAGTGGAATCGAACGAGATTCAAGAAAACGATAGAAGATACCATCCGAGACGGCGATGATACTGTACAAAGGACTCTTTTTAGGAATACGATGAAACCCAATTTCGATGGCAATCCGAAACACACTGCCCTCGAGACAGGTCACGTCGTGTCGCATTGCGTACACGGCCGCGAATACTGCCCCATTTGCTGCTTTGATTTTCGGGAAATGAACGCCGAGTCGCGGATGCAGTCCGAGGTCGATCTCTCGAAGCGGCAGGCCAAGAGGGACCAGAAGCGAGTCCGGGACGGGCCCTGTGCTGTGGAAGGATGCAAAAATACCGGTTCGAGGCTGTGCGGTAGGTGCCGAAACGTTGGATACTGCTCGGTCGAGTGCCAGCGAAGGGACTGGAAGGATCGCCACAAGAAGAAGTGCAAGAAGAGCCTCCCCTCCTTTGTGGACTCAACGGGCAAAAAGATAGCCACGTATCCCATCGGAACCACAATCGATATCGTTGGGAGTACCCAGGAGCTCAGGGCAAAAATCCGAAAGTTTCATCCGCCGGGAACGGCCGAGGGCTCCGATTCCCTGTTTTCCGACATGGCGATGTACTCGATTCAGGTTGTTGGTGGCAGCAATGATGCGTTTCTCGAATTATGCGAAGATGTACACAACAAGGAATGTTGGAGAAAAGTTGTTGACTAATCGATGACGAAACACTCAATCGATCAAATGACCGAACCGTCCAATTGAAAGCGAGAGCGCGATGAAAGCGAACAAGTAGTAAAGTAGAAGTATCTTTTTTGGCAACTATTTATAAAGCCGGCACAGTCGTCAGTCGGCATGTCTCCTAAAACAAACTTCTTGCTTATTGGTTACTCGGTGATCAATGTTCTCGTAGCTTTTGATACGAGCTAGGTGCTTTGGAATCACAACCACCATCCAAATCCGGAACACGTTTCAGCGCTTTCGACGCACAGGGGAGGAAGCATTGCTGCTTCTTTTGTTGCTACCGGGGCTCAAAGCCTGTCCTTTTCGGCGACGACGACGACGAAGACAACACAGGTGGAGACTTTTCCATCCCTTTGTTTCCAACAAATTATTTGCTTCCGCATATTGAACACAGGATTCGTAGTCGTCTATTGCGAATTTTCTGAGTGGTTCCCATGAGCGCTCTCCGTTTTTCCATTGGACCAAAATCTCCCACATCGAGTATCGCCCTCGATGCCAAAAGGGACCCCTGTGGTTTACTATCCCGCAGTGCTCGTAAAACAATTTTGTGGCCGGTTCGAATGTGTCGTAGGCTTCCAGGATTCGAAACGCAGAACCACGACGGGGATCGGTCTCGTTGCGCGATCGATAAAGAGCGTCGAGAATGGTTTGATTGTCCGGGTTCATAGCAGGATTGGCAAGCTCTGTGGCCAGGTGTTCCAAGGATAGTAGGGGTCCGACTGCTTCGCCCGATCCGTGCTCCAAAAACGGTGTTTTGCCCGCGTACATGGTCCACCGCGAACGACCACCGTACCCCCGGAGCTTCCCCTTGCTCTCTAGAGTGGCGAATCTTCCATCGTCGATCACGGAGGCTGCAAGCCCGGCATTCAATTTCAGTTTCGGTTGTATTGTTTCTGTTTGTTTCCGAGAGCAGCCGGTTCTGGTGCTGATATCACCGACGAGAAATTCTGTGCATGCTCGACACATGAAAAGTCCTAGCTTATTGGGTACAACTGTCTTCGTGCAGTTGCACTGTTCGCAGCGCTTCCCGATTACCAATCGTAATAGTCTCATCGGAGACGGGATATAAATGCACTTCTTCTGAATGAGAGACACAATCATGTCCATGATTTTGTGACCCCGATCGGTGCTCATGCAAGAGCACACGACTTGGTGGTACTGGATGCTCTGGCGAAAAGCTTTGGAGACACCTGCAACGCCAAATAGCAGGGATTCTGTGTCCAGATACTCTAGCACCTTGCTCAGAACATCTTTGTTTTGAGTCGCAAAGGACAGTGTTGAGGATGATTTTGCATCTTCCATACGACTCATATTTTTCTCGTGCTGAAATCTTAGTTGCAGCCTCTCTCTGGTGCGACTTTCAGTTGCGTAGTTCGAACTAGGTTCTTCGACATAACCATTCTGATTGTTAGGTGCTTTCGCTTTATTCATTTTGATATTCAAAACTTCTGGATCAGAACGACGGCATCGTTTTCGACCTCCATAGCTCGGAGCAATAGCTTCATTTTCTTCGCAGTTTTGACATTGCGCCTTCGTTAACGTACTCAAGGGCTGGAGCAATTTCGTGACACCAACGGCGATGGTCATAGCTCGGTTTTATTTTGTTTTGTGTACTTTGCGGTGCACCAACAACTGATGTGAAGATCCAATTTGGCTTTCAGTCTTCAATGCATTTGTGTCTCCCTTCTATCTGATTTGGAAGATTAATTCTTGTAGTTCATTGACAGACCGATACCACCATTCACGGGAATATATGCCAATGGTTTCTGGTACAGCATATCGAAACCCATTTTCTTGCTTGCATGCAGGAAGGCAGGCAGCACCTGCTTGTGATTCCCTTTGCGGCTTTGGTATTTTTCCGTCGCCGCAGAGCTTTGCATTCAGACGGGAACGAAAATCTGCAATGGCGAGATACTGTAAACCGGGTTCAGTACTTTGAATCGTGGAAGGTACTATGGGCTGATCGGGAAACGAGATTCACCGTGCAAATTTTGTGTGTCATTCCCCGTAAACCATTAGCTCGGTCGCGTTGTATTTTAAGACTATTGCATCGTTATGGCAGAATGATTGGTCGAAAGTTTTACTTACTTCTCTAATCCGAACCATAAATGGTAGTGATCACCCACGCTATAATGATTACTCTCGTTAATTGTGTTGCTACTCCACACGGCCTGCCATTCTTCGTGTTCTTCTTGCGAGACTATCTTCGCATGTTCTTACCGTGGACAGGTCAACCAGCGTGGATCATTTACAGAAAAGTCTTGGAGAGAAGTTTGGTACCGCATAGCCTGGTTTGGACGACGCCATTCCGTTGAAATATCCGTTCGATAGGGTCGACACGCTACGCCACGCAATTTCGATTGAATTTGTGGATGTATTTGTTGGATACAAAAAAAATTAATCGAACGCGATTTTCAACGTAATTCATTGAATCAGGAACAAGATCCATCACAGGGCCCTCCGGAACCAACGCGCGCGCGTCCCCCCTTTGAAATCAAATATCGGGGGTATGATTTCGTGGGTTTTTTTTCCCAAACAATAACCCACGTTTCTAAAACGTGGGTTTTTTTTCCCAAACAATAACCCACGTTTCTAAAACGTGGGTTGGGTTAACCCACAAATAACCCACGAATAACCCACGAAATGACCCACGAATAACCCACAAACCTGCTGGGCCTTTCTCCAAATATTAAAAAAAGTGATTAAATAACGTTAATGACTAAAATACTTAACACCCTTGGTTCTCCATCAATCCAGATGACTGTAAATTCGTGGGTTATTTGTGGGTTCTTTCGTGGGTTATTTGTGGGTTCCTGGGTTCTTTCGTKGGTTATTTTTCAWATTAAAATACCCACGTTTTAGAAACGTGGGTTATTTTTCCCAAACAATAACCCACGTTTCTAAAACGTGGGTATTTTTTCCCAAAAAATAACCCACGTTTTTCTAGGGGAGGAATTCGAAAAGGGGGATGTGCGCGTGGGTACCGGAGGGCCCAGGAGAAACAGAGCCCCCCGATCGTGCGTTTTTTAATATTCACGAAATTGGATGTTGAAAGAGACCAAACGCGCCGGGCGCTCTGGGAAACTCCAATCAGAAGAACACTTTTTTGTTTTTGGGGCATAGGAAATTGTGTCTTTTGGGGAAGAGGTTTGAGGCCTTCGTTATTACACTAGTAGTAGTAGCTACTAGTAGTATTGTGGTCTATTAATTTTGAGGCTTTTAAAGAATGGATAATTTGCAATTGCTCTTCTTTCAAGCCATTTGTCCTTAAAACATCAAGAAAGCTCCCCCATATTACATCATATTTGAATCCATGGTTTGCTGTTTTAAGTTTGAGAAATATGCTGTTGTTTTTTCTCCAAAGATAGAAATCTTTTGTTGGCAAGAGGGATTCCCATCCTCCTCCCACTGGGTTGTGTTGTTGAATGAATTCATACTTTTGATTTTCTAGCAGTACTACCACCACCTCCACCAGTCCCTGATAGAAAACAGATGAACTGCTATTTATTGTTCATGGTTGAATTAGGATCTTATGTGTAGTACTTGTTGCAGCAATTATCAATCTTCCTTTGGAGTCCCTCATTTTTAAAAATCAATCAGACAAATGCACATATTTTTTTGGTGTCAAAACTAAAGCAGCAACTATCTAAGAACTATGTAGTTTGCTGTTTCCTATCATTTTGAAAAGTATACTTTGCAGAGTAGAAAAATCTCAAAGTTATGTTTAACCACATGAACTAAGAGAGACACTATGTTGACCAGAACCAGAACTTCTTGAGGGGGAAGAATGTTCCTAGCTGCTCTGAGGGGCAACACCTCCCTCCAACAAGGAGATGTGATGGAGACACAACCACTGAGGTTTGTGGGTTGGTTGGTTGGTTGAATCTTTGAGGTAGTACTAGGCAATGAGAACTATTAGACTCCTATCTAGTATTCCTGCTATAATTCAGAATAGTGTTATGCATGCTGTGTTACTCCAGAAGATGGCAAAACACTTTTATCAGACCAACATTATTTGGCACCAGTATGATCTATTTATGGACCAGATTTCTCATCATTGGATCTTAGATCCATCAGATCTCAATTCAGATTCCTATTCCCTGTGGTTTTAGGAGCCCCTTTGTTTGAATTTTTTGGTTATACATTGCTCTGTTGGAGCAAAGCAACAAAACATACCATGGCCTCATTGTTCGGTTAATAAATAAAGTTGGATATGTTTTTCTCTCCACCAAACTTGTCCAGCAACGGAAGCCACTCTGTCCCCCCCTGACCCTGAAGCTTTCCTTTCATCCAATGTCCACCAAACTTCCTTCTCTTACTACTACATCACCAGAGTTTATGAAAAAATCTACAGGAGCATTCAGTATGAAGATTTTACTACTTCCACTAGTACCAATAGTACCAATCTGATTGCTCAGTACTACTTCTTCCCCTTATTGATTACCACTACTTGCAAAGAACTACTGGAGAACATCACTAAGATTTAAAATTTTTAAATTTCATGTTCAACCTCATGAACTAGAAGAAGAGACACTATATGGACCAGAACCAGAACTTTTGGTGAGAAGAATGCTCCTAGTAGTAGTATTTGCTCCAATGGGTGACACTTCCCTCTAAGAAGGAGTGGTTGTGGAGGTGCTAGCTAGTAGAAGCAGAAGCAACCTTCTTTGTCCTGATGCCCCTCTGATAGTTCACAACTCTAATTATATTTCTTTGGCTAGTCTTGGGGTGTTGCCCACCACTTCTGTTTTGATGGTGGTTGGCTCCTTGTTTTGACAGAATTTATCAAGTCTCATCAACAAGTCTTGGGAATGGGAGGATGAAGATCCTCTTACAATTTGGAATGACCAATTGCAAATATGAGGAATGAGGATTCATTGTTTGAGTCTTGGGAGCAATTTGGTTCTCATTTTTTGAGTCTTGGGAGCAATTTGGTTCTCTTAATTATTGGAATGACTGAATGCTTTACTACTAGTAGTTAAATATGAATAATCTGTTTTTTGTCAAGGTACTAGTAAGTTCTTTGCAATTTTGGGGTATAGAGGCCTACGTGGATTCTACACAGAAGTAAGTTTTTTTAAGTCTACCAGAAGTCCAGAGCAGTGAGAATTCTTGAAGGTCAGTGGCTACCTTACACAAATGAAAGTGGTAGTCCAGTGCAACATAGCTAACACATAGATCCTGATCAAAGCAGGTAGTATGTAAACACATAAACCCTGATCAAAGCAGGTATACAATTTAGAATAGCCAACAACAAGATGTAAGAACAATAGTAGTTGAGGCAAAAAGAATTCAAAGAGTGCTGCTAGGCATCAATTAAAGGTCATTGTGGTTTACAAGATAGATTCTTGCACCATCTTTACCATTCAAAGTTTCATAACAATTGCACAGCATCTTGCCAAGAGAGCAAAAAGTAATAATTTGAAGTTCTAAACTTCGGTTTGAAATTAAGAACTTCAGGTAGAAGTTAAGAACTTCACATAGAAAGCCTACCAGGTTCTACTGAGCTAGTTTTTCGATGGCATTCATGATTGATTCATGATTGAATCACCTCATGACCATTCAAAATCGCCCTGAACCATTTTTTTTGTTTTGAGGGGAATCGTGATTCATCCATTCAGTCATTTTAAAAAATTAGCTCAGTAGAACCTGGTACATGATGTAGGAGCAAAAGTTCATAACTTCAAATTATTACTTTTTGCTCTCTGGGCAAGACCTTGTGCAATTGTTATGAAACTCGTAGTAACATCATTTTAGTATTTGGCACATGGTTTTCAAAGTAATGAAAGACACAGTCATACTTGATAGATCTTTCTATAACTTACTCGTAAAATTATTTCTCCTGAACAATGATAACCATTATTATACAACAGTTTTTCGTAGTATTATATTACAGTATTACAATTACCGTAATGTTATGCACATCTAAACTCTCGGACCTATTTACAATTTTCTAGGAAACCTAGCAATCACGCAACATGACTACTGTTTTCTCGAGAAATAACATTAATAACACATAACACACTGGGTCGAAGGTTTTAGACAATAATAACGAGACATTGATTGTGAAAGGTATTTGAAGGGATTAGTATTGGGAGGAAAAGAATGGCATCAACAGTTGGTTACACGCCTGATTTCTAGGATGAGGAAGATTCGACAGATTCGACATGCCATTTKTCCATGGTAATTCGATATAAAGACTTCGTCAATGGAAGATGATTCAATTCAGATTTTTAGCAGAGGCGGAACGACAATAAGAACATGCATCAATTTAATCATCACAGTCCATTAATGATTCACTTCTTCAGGAAATCTTTGTCATGATAACCTCTTCGCTTTTGCTGGTATTGTTGTCAATGCTGTTCATTTGCCATCATTATTTGTAATAGTAGTCATGATTGTTTCCAGTTGGAACAATCCGTCTGCTGTTGGAGGAATAGTCGTATTCTTCGCTGTAGTAGCTGGCATAATGGTCCTCCAGGCGATTGGCTAACCAGCACCGAAACTTCCACACGTGGAATGCCATTCGAGCTCGGAATCTCTGGATGGAGCTCAGTGGCCCTCGCGGTTGCTGTTTTGCCACGGACGAGGAGGCAATTCCAAGGGAATACGGTACATCGTCGCTGTCGAGGTCGCAGTCATCGCGATAGTCCACGCACGGCGGACGAAGCGGCCGTATTATTTGCATACGAGGCAGCCCATCGCCAACGGGTGTGTCTACAGCCTCCACTCTTCCGACCGCCCACCGCTCCGGCAGAGTACTCGCATACGCCGCACAGAATCGCATCAACCAAGCACACTCCTCCAGGGCCCCATCCAGAGCCATACCAAGGGTGTAAGGTGTATCACCGAGTACCCAGACCAGGGACCTACCTCGGCGGTACTTGAATGAGCGATTCGCCTCGGAAAGGACCACCACCACCAATACAGCCTTCCAGAAACGGAGGGTGATTGTCCACACCAGAGGTATCGCGATCATCCCCGCTGCGGTACCAAAAGCAAAAACAGCTTTAGTGGTCGACAGCGTTTCCACCAGAGAACCTACGAAACGCTTGGCGTTGGTTGTTTGAACTGCCTCGAAGAGCGATTGAGTGCTTGGCTCGAGCCATCCGTGGTAGATTGTTTTCCACCTGGGCTTCCACCAGTCTAGGGAAATGGAACTCAGTTTCCTCCGAATCAATGCGGCTAATGGAAGGATGCTGCGACGCCAGACCGCCCGAATCTCCGCGCCAATCACGGAGGGAAGCTCAAGGCACACGCAGAGGATCCCCATACGGTCCAGGGCCTCCGTTAGCGCAATTGCTATAAGGCTCAGCTTCAGGACGCGCGATGGCAGCAACGCTGTGGTAATTGACGACGCGGGGCGAAAGGACGACGAGCGAAAGGCCCCTGCGGATTCCAGTTGGGAGCGGGCCGCGTAGGATTGTTGGTCGTCCATCGATGAGGATTGATTTCTGACCCGTATGCCATTTTTCCTGGGCTTGAGTTTTTCGTCTGCGTTCCGTCGGCGCCAACCTGCAGTTCTCGTTCTCGTTCTTTTTTCTGTACCACTGGTTTGTTCCGCTGATTTCCGCCATTCCTTGTTGCGTTCCAAAGGTTCTGGTGCGGGTGGCAGCGCAGTTTGTACTTCGGTTTTTCGTTGCGTGGTGTAGTTGCAGTGCCTGATGCGATCCAGGGCTTGGTCCCTGGCTTCCATGGCGAATGGCAGAAGGCGATCCCTGCACACAAACGCAACTTCCTTGGCGACTGGAAGCAACGTATTCTTGCACACCGATCCAAACTCGGAAAGAATCGAAGGAACATGTAACGTCGTGACTCTCACGGTGATAGTTTGGGGGAAATATCTGCTGTTGTTGTCGCTGTCACTACTTGGGCGAGATTCGTTACGGTATGGGTCTCGGCTGGTAGACTTGATGGCTGACCCACCACCCCGCAGCGCATAGCTTTTTTGGTCGAGTGTTCTAGGGATCCCGATGAGGATCCCGCTGCTGATATTTCTCCGACAGTGACCAATGCCATCAAGTAATTCCTCGTTGTGCGTTCCTTGGTGAAAATGGTTGGAGAACAACCGCGAATGCCGTTTGCTACCGAGGGCCGATTGTATGTGCACCACAATGAGAAGAATAGCTATCATTTGTTTCGTAGCAACTCGTCGAAGCCGGGTTCTCGGAACGCAAGGTGGCAGTGGAAGAGACCTCTTCATACTTCCGTATCAGAATGTATCGGCAACCTTGGACAGGGCTTGGTGGCCCCTTTACTAAATCTTCTGAACCACTCGATTTGAATCTTTCTTGATGTCTTTGTCAAATCCGATCGCAAACAAACAGAACGAACAGCTGATCGGGAGTTAGTTGGTTTGTCTGTTAACAGTCCCCAACACAGAATAGGCGCGCTATCATTCTTGATTCATTTCAAAGAATATGCGATGGCGATTCAACGAACTTTTCTAATCCGAATAGCGTTACAATGGATATGCAAAACTGCTTTGTAGATCCTATCCTGAGGTCGGTGGGAAATGAGTGATTGGATTGTTCATCGGAACCCATGAAATCTTGAAATACGTGGTCGACAATTTTACTTGACTCATGTTTTGGGGGCTCGAAGAAACCAAATTTGTATGCTACAGGTAAGGTAGAGTACTTACGAGTACCCGTACTTACATAATGATGTACTTCGTACTTCTACTTTGTAGTACGTATCTTACTTTGTGTACGTATTTACGGTACTAACCGTAAAGTACTCGGTACTCGTACTATTTACGTACGAGTACCGTACTTTACCGTACGACGAGTTCTCTTTGATCGTGTTTGTGATTGGAACTATGGTAGTTCCTTCCGGCCCTATGTACTAGTCGAGGCTCAAAACAATTCGATAGTATTAGTAGTAGAATTGTTTTAAATTGTAACGGTACGACCTGGGTTATAGTGTAATACAGTTTGAAATCTTGGGGTCATTGATTAGATGCTACCGATTTTGTATCGAAGTAGAGAGAACGATTCAAAAGGAACGTATTGTAACATATCTTTAAAGTCTTCGTTTGGAATCGTCCTCAGCGTTGAGTGACTTTCCATCCTTTCCTTCAGCCTTTGGAAGCATCGACACTTGCTGATGAAGAACATCTTTGGACTTTAGAAATATACCTCCGTGGCCCTTTATGTTTAGCAATAGGCACGACACAGCACTAAGAATGACCAGGCCACCCATCAAGAAATATGCGTGTACCGTGCTGTTCAGGTACATGAATCCTAGACCAAAGGAAACTGCGCCTGAAGGTCCTCCTGCCCCAACAATACCGGCTACCGCTCCCGGCGCAGCTGGGTTTACGTATGGCACGATTCCGTACGTTGATCCCTCCGCGGCTGGTACAAAAACTGAGAAAATTGCAAACATTAAAATAGCAGCCCACAAACTTTCCATTATAGCAAACACAAGAATGCAAAGGCCCTCAAGCAACAGCAGAACGAGCTGAACCCAAAGTCTACCTTTCATTCCGATTTTTTCGCTTGCCTTGTCACTGCAGTAGCCTCCAATGCCTCGAGCAAAAATATTCATGATCCGAAAATGGAAGCTATAGCAGCTGCGGTTTCGGTGCGAAGATCAAATCGATCAACAAAATAAGTAGTGGCAGCATTGTTCATCGTGATTTCGATTCCAAAACAACAGCCGTACTGGATGAAAAGCAACCAAGTGTTGGGTTCGACTGCACCCTGACGGAAGGAAACGCTTGCCGACACGGGGGTCATTTTTCCTTCCTTGATGAGATCTTTATAGTTTCCTTCCGGACAGTCCTCACTGGTAAATATGACAAGCGCACCGGTCAGCAAAGTGACAACGGCGGGGACAATGCAAACAACTCGCCAGGCTTTTTCGGCGGGGTCTTCAGCATTGGAAAAAATGACGTCTCTGAAGAGCGGGAACAATGCAGTTCCAATGACGAGTTGCGCAGCACCTCCACCGACGTTTCCCCATCCTCCAACGAGAGCATTTGCTGTACCGACAATTTCCTTGGTGAACATGCCGGTCGTCCAGCACTGGCACATGACAAAGGACGCTCCACCAAACCCTATAAACAATCTCACGAGACACAATCCCACAAAATTGTTTACTAATCCTGTACAAGCGGTAGGAATGCTCGTGAAAATCAAGACTACCCCCATCAAGATGCGAGGCCCAAACTTATCGGTGAGTGCACCAAAGACAAAACGCATTACGATGTCGCCACCGACACCAACTATGTTCGACAGCCATATCTCTCGTTTTGTCAATCCGAGACTTTTTTTCACTTCCGGCAACATTGGTGCTATCGAAAACCAATCGAAAAAGGCAATGAAGAACGACCACCACGAATACTGAAAAGGTTGTGCTTGGTGAGTTCTGTCGTGGAAATGGTTCTCTGTCGTGAAGGGCAGCATTTTTTGCTTACATGAAAAGCCCTCATATGAGGTCTGGCAAAGGAGCAGATCTTGAAGTCCTTTGCCTTGTATTTCTGCTCGGGATCGACTTCCAAAACGAATGGACCGGGTTCTTCCGATCCCAGAACAACGTCTTTGGTACCTGCAGAAAGGGTTCCTGTTTCTTCGGAAGCCGTGACATCCTCTCTTGGAGGAATCATTGTTGTTTTTCAAATGCGATAAAAGAGCGAGGTCGGAAGCAGTATGGCAATACGTTATGGCGACAGCTCGGTATTGCAGCGCGCGCGGGGGGGGGGGGGGGGGGAGGGAGTCACAACGCAAATAACGAAAGAACAATTTGTGATGTGTTGCTTTCAGTGGTTTTCGTCGAATTGTTTCGTTTTTCGGAGCGACTTCGTGGGAACCTGCCGTTTTCAGAAAATCCTTTAAATGTCATAGGAAGTAGAAGTAATAATCAACGTGCAGTTCAACAGCAAGAAGGGATAGCAGTAGAAGTATCCTATCGGAGGGAGATACAAAAAATACTAGTAGCTTAATTACCAAACGTGAGATGTCACATCTATCTAGCGAATGCTGGTTCTCGTTCTCGTACTACTCGTATCGCACTAGTACAAGTAGTACGAGTACGTAGTACAAGTACGTATCATCTAGGCTAGCTAGCTGGCATACAGCGCAGTCAAACGAACAGGCACGGCAGGTACGTACGTACCGTACTATGTACCGGTAGGAGAGGAAGTATGATGTGTCATGCGGAAAATAATTTTGACAAAATTATCGAAAAAATCTTCCATCCCCGTTTCCCCCCCGAAGCTTCGCAAAAGATATCATCACCTTTGGCAGCAGTAGGTATTTCGACGCATTTTTTCCTTCCGAGGGAGCAGCAATACCGCCTAGGAAGGATGATTCGAAGGAACCGGTGGAAGACCATTCAGACTTAGAAACAAAACTTCAACTTCCCTATCTAGACGAAGCAACCTGGCGACATTTGCCAGGAACGAAACGAAGAAGACAAGGTAGGAGCGAATGGTAACAGCTTCGACGGGGGGTAATTTGGGAGTTGGGATCTTTTCCCACTCATCCCCGATACTGTCCCTGGGTTCGATCACCCGGGCCGTTTGCTTTCTGGGAATCCTGGTCCTGCTCGTTCTTGGTGATGGCAATGGGAAGCCACCGACATCACGGAAAGAACGAGGAGCAGGAAACCACACCAACGTGATCGTGTTCCTGGCGGACAATCTCGGTTACGACGACGTGGGAGTTTTTCAACAAACGCATCGGCCTCCAATGACCGATGGCAACATCAATGCCGACCGCAAAAACAAGAGAAAACCCAGTCGGACTCCCAACATCGACAAGGCGGCCATGGAGGGACGTCGCCTGCTCAATTGGAATTCCMCCGCGGTTCTTTGTTCGGCTTCCAGGGCTGCTCTTCTTACAGGTGAGTGAGGGATGGTACGCTCTGCCAACCCGCCTTTTTTGAGGTCCGAAACGTGTTTGGTTGGATGTTGGAATGTGCCCKGGGAGGGATGAGCCAGGACTCGGAAATGTTGTACCACGGCACCAACCCATTGCTTGTGTCGACTCGACTCTGCCCGAATCCGCGCCGCTCGATTCTTGTGGTTGTTTGTTGGTTCCGTTGCACACAAACCATCCTTTGTTCTCCAGGAAAGTACCCGGTCCGCACCGGGATTTATCCACGGGTCTTCGAGCCGGACGCCGCCCACGGACTCCCACCGACCGAGACCACCCTCGCGGACCACCTGCGGGCCCTGGGCTACGCCACCAAGATCGTCGGCAAGTGGCACCTTGGCCAGCGGCCCGAGTACCTCCCGACCCAGCGGGGCTTCGACGAGTGGTTCGGGATCCCGTACCACATGAGCGGGGGGAGTCTCGACGGCCATCTCTGCACCGGAAAGGACCCGGGCGGGGCCAGGGATCTGTGGCTGCCCCTGTACCAGGGGGATTCCATCGTGGAGCAGCCCGTGGTGCTGGAAGATCTGGCCCAGAGGTACGTCGACGAATCGGTCAAATTCCTTCGGCAACACACGAGCAACGGAAAGAATGCAAAGACCAGCGACAACGAAAGCGACGACGACGACCAAGGTTCCAGGCCGTTCTTCTTGTATCTGGCCTTTAGCCACGTCCACCAATTGTGTGCCCCGAAACATTCCGAGTGCCAATGGGCCTCGAACAAGGCGGGGCGCGACGGATACCACGCCACGTTCGGGGACGCCGTCGAGGAAATGGACTGGATCGCCGGCCGGGTCCTGGAGGCACTGGCCGAGCTCGGGGCCGAGGAGAACACCCTGGTCCTCTTCACCAGCGACAACGGGCCGTGGACGGCCGAGCAGGAGTGCTCGGGAAGCAAGGGGCCCTTCCTGGGGACCTGGCTGGCCGAGCACTCCGATCCGACCTGCACGGCCTGCCCCTCCGAGTACGTCCCCTCGCCGCTGCTCCCGGACCGGCCCCACCGCTGCGTCTTTCCGGTGGGCAGCAGCAGCAGCAGCAGCATAAACGGCAACGGCAACGGCGGCCCGCACGTTTACGAGGTCGACGGCGTCCCCTGCGGGCAGGACACCGGCCTGGGGTCGGCCTGGGAGGCCAACGTCCGGATGCCCGCCTTTGTCCGGTGGCCGGGGGGGGGCGTCGAGGCCGGATCGGAGACGATGGAGACGGTGAGCACCCTGGACGTGGTGCCGACCGTCCTGGGCCTCCTGGGGGAGGACCCCCCTTGCGGCCTCGACGGCGTGGACGCCTCGAGCGTGTTCCTGGGGCGGAGCGGGGGGACCGGGGACCGGGTTCTCTTCTTCTGGAGGGACGGCTTTGCGAGCGGGCCCCTCCCGCAGCCCTTTGGCCGGTTCGACGTCGTGGCCATGAAGATCGGTCCTTTCAAGCTCTGGTTCTGGACCAAGTCCTCCCACTACAACGCCGACCCAGAGGTCTTTCACGATCCTCCCCTGCTCTTCCACGTCCTGGACGATCCGGCCGAGGCCTTCCCGCTCGATCCGGAGGAACATTCCTCCCTCGTCGAAGAGGCCAGGCGGCTGCTGCAGGAGCACAAGGAAAGCGTGGACAAGGCGGAGCCGCTGTGCCTGGAGAGGGACGCCGCTTTTTTGCCCTGTGCCGACAAGGCCCGCGGCTGCCGGACGCACGGGGGGGCCCCGGGCAGCAGCAGCAGCAACCGTTTGGCCGAGGCCGACACGGGCTGGTCCCGAGAGGAGTAAGACGAAGAGAGATCGCGCGGTCTACAATTTTTGGGGTAAAACCAAATCATTCCAAAACGGACCGCAATTTTCACGGACAGAGACCAGAAAAATTAGAAGGAAGTCTCTCGAAACAATACAACCAACAAGCTTCTAGGATTCATTTTATGGTGTCTACGGGTAGTCTAGCCTAGAATCGGTCGATGCGATCCCTCGAGAAAGAGTGGTTTGGATTGCATCGCATCGCATCGCATCGCATGTATAGGCAATCTCCGAACCCAAACGGCGGCGTTTCGCTCGCTCACAGCTCGTCCGCAATGGCCCTCAGGATCCCTACCACCGTGTCCTCGTACCGCTGCAGCAGCGCGGAGAACCCAACGACCAGCAGCCCGGCGACCGCGGCCACCGCCACCGCGTCCCTGACCACCGCCACCAGAGCCGCCGGCCCCTCCCTGGGGCGGGCGTGTCCTCCCTCCTCGTGCCGCTCCCGGTTCTGGTCCGTCGGCTCGATGCCCTCGAGGACCACCACCAGCACCAGGTCCGAAAAGGGGGGGATCAAGGGGGGGAGGCCGGGGACGCCGTATCCGTAGGCCCAGGGGACGACGACCTCGCAGGCGGCCCCCTCCTCCATGCGCTGGACGGCCACCTCCAGGCCGCGGAGGACCTCGCCGGCCCCCACCACGAAGGAGAGGGCCGGGACGACCGGGGCCGTGGCCTCGAGGACCAGGGGCCGCCGCGTTTCGGTGGTGGTGGTGCTGCGGCCCTCGCTGCTGCCCTCGCTTCCGGACCACCTCCCCCCGGGAAAGTTCCCGTCCACCCAGGTCCTGGCCCGCCGGCGGTGGACCCGGAAGGGACCCCCCGTCCGTTCCGCCGGGACCGGGCCCAGGACGTAGCAATCGTACCGGACCAAACAGGTGTCCCCCGGCCCCGGACGGTAGCCCCCGGGGGTGGTGCCGGTGGTGCCGGCGGTGGTTCGTCGTCGTCGTCGTTCGCTGCCGCGTTCGCTGCCGCAAGTGTTCTCCTCCCAGCGGTCCCCACGGGCCGGGCGCAGCCATCGGACCAGGATCCCGGCACCCTTCTGGTCGGGAGAGACGGACGCATCCGTCACGGCGGCTTGGCAGCCTGCCGTGCCGTGGCGGCGGCTGCTGCTGCGAGTGCGGTCGGTGCCGTGGTTGCCGGCCGCCGTTCCAAAGAGCATCGACAGAAGGACCTGTATCATCACCATGTTCTTCTCGCGCACGGCATCCTACGGCGCATCGCACAACACTGCTGCCACACCACGCGTTGTGTCGCACCGGTTGTGTTGTTGTGTGTTGTTTCTTTGGGATGTTTCCACCCAGCCAGTCCCGTTCCTTCCTTGCCTTGCCTTGCAATGCCTTGCCTCGGATTCGATTCGACGGACACTTCACTTTCTACTGGTACCGTACGTGTGGTACTCGTACCGTAGCGTAACAGTATTAGCCACCATGCATGTTAGTATGCTCCCATATTACGTGTTAATACGAGGTTTACAATAAAGGAGTAAGGTTACTGCAACTGTATTACTGTAACCGTTGAGCAGCTCAACATTTCCATGTAACCACGCGCGCTTGGTTACTGTGCGGTTACAAAAAATTAACACTAACAAACACTAGTTATTTTTTGCTTAAATACACGCACCTCAACAAGTTACAACCGCGCGAATTGAGTTTTTGTAACCAAAAATTGTAACCAAACCCCTTCCTAAGGAGAGCCCATATTTTCACCACGATAACACTAGTAGTGTGGTTACAAAAAAAACGGGTCTGGTTACAAAAACAGGCGCACTGGTTCCCTTGTGGGCGCATGTAACCAGAAAAACGAACCTCGACAGGTACGAACTAAAAACTGTCTTCACTACTGTAAATACGTAGTATCAGTACAGTACTGTATTTTGTACGAGGAGTACTAAAAAATGTAACAAGCAGTTTCAGTGAAAAACTCATTTCAATTGCTATTCCAGTACAAACTCGTGTAGAAAACACCGTAGAAATATTGATTTGCAGGGGGAAACAACAAGCAAAAAAACAAGCAAAACACCAGCATCCGTATCGTATCAGCGTGCGGCTCCTCTGTATCATATCAGCATCCTCCGTATTGTATCAGCGACTCGTATCAGCGTCCTCCGTATCAGCGTCCTCCGTATCAGCGACTCGAATAAGAGCTGGCTCCTCCGTATCGTATCAGCGCTCACTCCTCCGTATCATATCAGCGGCTCGCTCCTCCGTTACGTATCAGCGGCTCGCTCCTCCGTTACGTATCAGCGGCTCGCTCCTCCGTTACGTATCAGCGGCTCGCTCCTCCGTTACGTATCAGCGGCTCACTCTGCCGTTACGTATCAGCGTCCCCCGTATCAGCAAGGAGCGCCATTGCTGGCTCCTCGCAGTAACCAAGCGCTCGTGGTCACATGGAAATGTTGAGCTGCTCAACGGTTACGTAAATATCTGTGGAAGAGCTAGCGCAGCACAACAAGTACTTTCTTCAGCAACACCAACAACAAGCTCTCGAGCTAAAGCTCTCGAGCTTGTTGGTGGTGTTGCTGAAGATAGTACTTGCAGTAACATCACTGAGATCTCGAGCTAAAGCTCTCGATCTCAGTGATGTCACTGTGTGTAACCAAAAAGCTCTCGAGCGCATGGTACAAAAATTTTCCCGTGATAATAACACGGACTCGACAAGGTACAAAATTCTGGTTACAATTTGGTTACACGCGCTGCGCGAGCTCCTCCACAGATACTATACATATTCACTAGCTATTCGGGATATTCGGGATTTAGCCTCACAATTACTCTTCCAGTACGTACTCGTAGTGAGTAGGAGTACGTACCTTTACCGTACGTTCTGGGACGATCATCATTGAAGATTTTACCACGTACATTTTCTACTAGACCCGTTACGGGAACGGAACCAGCAACCGCTGCTTAACAAACGGAATTAAGCATTTAAATGAGTCCTGTGAACTCGATACTAAACTCAATATTTAGGGGGGGGGCTSAGAGAATTTAAAAAAAATTTCTGGTAGCGCGGCATATATCATGGTAGCGTTTCTGGTAGCAATCTGGTAGCATTTATGGTAGCAATCTGGTAGCATTTCTGGTAGCAATCTGGTAGCAATCTGGTAGCAATCTGGTAGGAATTATGGTAACTGGTAATTTTCCAGGATTGCTACCATAAATGCTACCATAAATTCTACCAGATTCTGGTAACTGTTCTGGTAACGATCGTGGTAAACACTTAATTCACATAAAAGTTGAGCATAAATGTGAAGGAATTTTTGCTCCCGGACTGTTTAAACTAACTAAAACTCTTCGAAAGGCGGACTGCTTTACAGGATTGCAGCAGCAGCAGCGTCCCGGCAACAGTAGCACAACAGCAACAAGCAACAGTGTGAACAACAATAAGCAGCATGGTATAAGGAGATCCTTCTGGYGGGGCGGCTTTGACGCCCTCATAATACACGATGGCAAGAGCTGGCTCATGCTCCTCTAAGAAAGGSAAGCGTCAGGAAGAACAAAGTYGGAATCCAGAACCGATATACAGGAAACTAGAGCTGTCAAAGCAGATTGCTTGCTACAACTATTGGATCCATTTGAGAACAGAAGGGAAAAAAGGCTGGGATCCTAACAACAAGCCTTCTTCTATTTACAACTACAGAAGCTCAGCTTAGTACATCCAAAACCACATCAAAAAATCAAGTTGGCCCAAGATTGGGAAGGTATGTTTTGCGGCAGGAACAGTACTTCGCATCCGCGTTTATTCCTCGCATTTGCTTACGCGTTTATTCCTTTGTTAGAGTATGGCAACACTTGCCCAAGATCTACAGAACCGAGGTATCCATCTTATTGATCCATACAAAGAAATAGAAGAGAAGCTTGCAGCAATCTCCAGAGCCAAGAAGAAGGAGGAAGAGGAACAAGAATCCGAAGAAGAAGAATCCGAAGAGGAGGACGAATACGACAACATGCCTCGTAAGCGGCAAACAACACCACCAACCACAGATGAAATGCTTTCAGAGCTTGCTGGAAGGAGCATGATTATCAGCAAGAAGAAGAAGGAGACTACTCCTGACAAAGGCACGCAGTGGGTTAGTGGATCTCTCATGTATCCAGCTCTTTCCGGAAGATGGACAACCTTCGATCATACAACAGATGATATGGTTGACTATGTTTTGATTAGACTGCTGATCCACACTGGTGCCAAAGAATCAGACTTTGTTCTTCAATGGGTTGATGAGTATACCTTCCGGGTTCGGTGCAAGTGGCCTGATTTCATGAGAAGTTGCATGACACAGGTTGATCTAGATATGACAGCTGATCCAAATGGAAAAGTAGCTCCTTATCCAACCTTTAATAGAGCTCATGGCCTCTGGACTAGCATGGGAATTGAAGCAAAGAATCTTAAGGAACCGGATGGATACATCTGGTCTGAAGGCTTTCTCAAGTTTCGGAACAGGATGAATACTTCTATCTACGTTGCCGATGTCCTTGTTGCTCCTATCCAGGTGGGGGGGGGGGAAGTCTGCTGATGCAATGATCCTTCAGCTCCAGTTCAAGGAAATGGAAGAAGAGGATGAAAGAGCACCAGCTATTTTCCAGTCTCCTATCAACACGAAGAGAGGTGGTATAAGGATGGGTAAGTCCCCGCCTGTTCCGTCTCCTACTACTAGTAGTAAAACTACTCCGTGTCCACCTCCTCCTCCCCATCCGCGTCCACCGCGTCCACGTCCTAAATCACCAGCAACAACAGAGGAGGAGKAGAACAACCGGAGGAAGAAGAAGCCTAGAACCAATCCATCTAACTCACCTTTGTTGTCACCTTTGCCACCTTCTCCTGCCGGTGCTGATGATACCAACAGTATGAGCCGACGTGTTGATACCAAACTCATGCAACAACAAATGGAAGAAAGCTCTGAATCTTTTAACTCTTTTGATTCCTCCATTGCTTCCACTGGAATCGATCCAATCAGTGCATTCCATGATGCCAAGTCACACCTAAATGATATTGAGAAGTTTCTCAAAGAACAAGATTAAATGTAGTACTACTAGCGTCTATTTTCACGATGGCGCACCAGCAATAAAGCATAAAGCTTAATGAACAATACTAGCAAGACTGGACGCAGCAGCAGYWGTTGTTGTAATCTACTAGATAACGCTTAGTACTGAGTGTAAACTAGACACGTTACAGTATATTCTAAAACTGTAGGCCCAGGATGAGACGCGTGGTCAGCAAGCTGGTCCTTGGGGTATTGCTCAAGTCTATTGCAACTACTCTTGGTAGATATTGTTCCTACTAAAGATAAAGTGTATSCAAATAGTACTACTAGAATTTCAATCCCACCATGGAGTGCGTTTCAAGCAGCAGTAATAGCTCTCCTGCACTGCTGGTACTATTACTACTAGTAGTGGTGGTGGTAGTACTAGTAGTAGTAGTGTAGTTGAACCAAGCAAACTGGAGAGCAAAATGGATCAAATTCAACTTTCCTAGTACAAGCTGTACAGCAATTTCCTGTAGAAATTCCTTTTGCAAGGGGGTACCCT